TAGAAGATGTTAGATTCCAAACATAGTCCATTCTCACGAATGGCAGATTTACAGGGGTTTTCAATCCGGGGAAGGGTGGGGTTGGGTTGGGTTGGGTGGGGTGGAGTGGGGTGGGAGGGACTATGTAATAAGGACTGATCAGGGGTGGGGGGCGAAGCGTGGTTGGATGATGGTTTTGGAATTTGGTTAGCCAGGCAGCCTTATCATTGGTTCTTTGGTGACATCTCAAGTTTCCAACATATAAGGTCTTTAATTTTTATTTTGTTTATTGGGGAATAGTTAAACAAATGGAGTCTTGACATATAAAGAAATGATGCTGTGTATATTTATGGGCCTTAAAAGCTTTAAAACATTGTAACTACTGAGTGAGGAGCAGCAATATGGCAGCAACATAACAGTAGTCCGTAGACAGCGTATAACTCTGCGATATCTACAAAAGTTTTTCCTTTCTTCAAGATCCACCTATAGTATAAAATATCTAGTATCCCCTTATGCCAAAGGGAGGTAAAATTTAAGTGAAAATTGATATGTATGGTCATTCTCCAAGTCCCACCCCCTGCGCAAACCCCTCCGCCCCCTGCTGAAAAGCCTTGGGTTTAGAGATCAATATCGAACCGAAACCGTCTGTTGCAACCGTTAATATGTTCTCAAGTTTCCTACCCTCCAGGTTTCCTAGCCTATCCCGTTGAAAACTTCGTTCCCAATAATCCGGGGGAAAACGTGGGCTTCGTTCAAAACAATCTCAGTGAGCGGGAGGACATCCGTTGGCGAAAGAGGAGATGAGATATAGAGAGAGGTACTTCGGCCTGCGTGAAGCGTTAGTCTCATGAGTTCCTTTGCAAGGTTTAACTCTTTACTCCTTCTCGTCGGTCCAGCATGGATTTTTTTTATTTTTAATTTTTTATTTTTAATTTTTTTTTGTTTGGCTATCGTCACCCCCACCGTCACGCCTAATGCAATCGTGCCTGGAAAGAAGCACACAAGGTGTTTCGAGATATATGGTTCAGATGTTTGTAGATATTGTTGTATAATATATTCTGCCCATGATATCAGTTGGTGTAGTGAAGTGGTCGTCACTTTCTGGATCTACGAAGATAGGATGAAGGCCATCCCCCATGACATTGTCATCAAGGATTTGATCTACTTTCTCCGCTTTGAGCCAGTACAATTCATTACCAGTGAAGTTAGCAAGGTATTTCATCTCCAATTGGAGAGTAGTCACTTCTGTCATCGACGATGCTCCACCATCAGCATGCGAACGGATCCCATTCTTTGTTCGCAGTTCGATACCTGCGTACGGAATCCCAGATGGGAATTCATATGCATCGAGAAGTCGATCAGCCAGGTCAATTGCATTGGACAAATAAACAGAGTCTTGCGGAGAAGAGACATAGGAGACCCTCCCCAGTATACGACTTGTCGTCTCGAACGTATTGACGTCTTGGTTTTGATCATACGTGAGATTTTATTGGATCAAACGTCTGAGCATTCCCAAGGCGAGAAGTGCGGTTCATGAGCGTCATTGGGTCCAGGCTGTCAATGATGATCCATCCCAAGCCTCTAGGCTCATTTGTGAGCCCATTTGGGAGATGAAGTGGAAGATTATGGAATATTCTTTTTAGCCCATACATTGATTGAGTCCTGATATGTAACCGTGTTGGCAAAGGAGAACCAAAAAAAAAAAAAAAAAAAAAAAAAAAAAAAAAAATTCACACCTGGGAATTTGTTAACTGAGGGTTCGTTTGATATTTTAAGAGGCTTAGGAATCGGACTTCCTATTTTTGCGGCTGGGGATGAGCACAGATCCCAACCACTGGTGCCAATCAATCAAAATGGCGTCCTCGAGCTTGGGGACATTCTTCAAGATCATCGGAATATTTTGTTCCTTTGTGTGCAATGCCATGCATGTCAAAAATTTTCGCTCCAGCGTGCATGTCAATGGTCAAGGTTTGGACTTTTTTGTTTTTGTACGGAGTAATAGTTACTGATTGGTCAAATCATGATGACATCTACCAACCCATTGTCTGTACAGTTGTCGAACTTGAGCGCTGAATCAACAACCTCCTTGTTCTCCTGTGAAAAACAAGATCTAAGTTCAAACACGATCGGTCCATCTAACGTCCCCACGATCCATCATCCTCTTTTTCACCCATCTCGTCTCGGACAAAATGGCATTTTTGATGCGCTAGCCATTATGCAATATTATTCTTGATACCTGCACCGGAGTAAATAGTCCATCAGTCAATTTCGTCCATAACTTTTGGTCTGAGAGAACTAGAGAGACAGGCGGCTGGCGGTATGAAAAGGAGACCGCTTTGCCGATCCAGAGATTCAAAGGCACCAGTGTCGGCTTCTTCTTCTTCTTCTTATAGTTCTTCATATAACTTTCCTACCATGGGTTTTAGAGCAGCTGAAGGGTCGGCTCAACGTCGCTACCAAAAGTTTTTACTCGCCACGGCACTAAAAAAAGCCATGAAAGCAACATTTGCTGCCTCAACTAAAACTTAAGACATCAGTTCCCACTATCAGTGGTTAAAGTCTTTAGTTAAGATTTAAGGCATCGGCACCTGAAGATTCAGTTATGCTCAAGCCTAAGAGTCTCTAGATTGATGCCTATCAATACGGGCGTGGTTCACACACCATTCTAATTTGGATTATTAATATATTTTCAGAGCGAGTCAAAACTCTTTTGATAGCGACCGCCGTAGTATTGAAAAGACAGGGATTGATGGACATCACTTTCTCAACGGCCCTGATCTCCGGCGTATTCCACCTTTTATCATTTGATGTGTTTCTTCTTGTGTAAATGGGTGCTCATATTATCATGATATCATCATTTGATTTTTTTTAGGAGTCCGATGAACACTGCCCTATCTGATCCTTCGGCTAAATTTATCCGAGCTCCACCCAACTCCCTCCTTCAGTTAACCGAATCCCTCATAGCCATCAATTGATCTGGAATCCATTCCCAGCTCTACATCTATCATCAATTCCCGCAGTTTGCGTATGGTCGCTATTCAACCTCAGCTCAGCATTGATAGACCACTAGGCTGATACGGTTCAAGTCCGTTTTAGGACACTCCGGCGCCATTGCCACGGCAATACTGACTGACACGCACAGTTTGACCCGTCAGCGATACAACTGCCTCGGTTGAATTGTAGCCCACGGGAATGGATGTTCATGTCACTAACTAGATGCTGGAGGATACGGATGCTGGGCCAACAACAAACCTCTATACCTCATATGAATTCGTGCGTTCAATCTATTTGCTGATACCAGTCCTATCCATCCTCTCCGCTTCCGTTTGCTCAGGATCTCTCGCCTTCACTGTATCGAACGAATACACGCTGCCAATATCACAAGTCAGGGAAATTCCATCTCTTCATCCAAACTAACGATCCTCACTTTCTCCTTCTCTCATCCAAGTCTACAAGTCTACGTCTCATTCCACCGCAGCGCGCCACAATTCTCCAAATATGGAATCTTCTAGCACAGACGTGCAAGAAAAAGCCTGGTCCGACATACAGGCCTTCCTCGACAAGGCCGCTGCCAAAGAAGACAACCGAGGCTGGGACCTCCCCGCTTTAAGGGCGACCAAGCTCGTAAAAGTGGCATCAGGAATGGCGGAATTCGAGTTCACGGTGACAGAGCAATTGTGCAATCCAATGGGGATATTGCATGGCGGCTGCGCATCGACAATACTGGACATTCTGACGTCTTTGGTGACGCTTACGGTGCCTGGTAATGACGGGATGGTTAGAGCGCTAAGTCGGACTTTAACGATGACGTTTTTGAGGCCTGTGCCGGTGGGTACAAAGACAAGGATTGTGGTTGAATTGGTGGCTATGGGGAGGAAATTTGTTCACTGCAAGGGGAGCATTTTGACAATGGATGGGAAGATTTGCGTTGGCTGTGTGCATGATAAAGCTGTAATACAGGCAGCGAATCTGTGAGAACATCAAAAATCTTTTGGCTGCTGGATGGTTATTGCAAGATCGGTTCTTGCGAAGAAATTGATTGAGCCTCTTGGTTTCAATGGTGAAAAGGAACACTTGCGACTGATTGGGAGCGCGAGTTCGATGAAAAGAAAGTTATTTTTGTTATTCCCGCCTGCTTTCTTTTATATACAATTGATAGACTTTTAGACGATATGTTGTTCTATATATAGTCAAGCCCACGGGAATCGGATTCGGGATCGTCTTCTATATTTACGCCCTGATCTGAGCATAATGTGAAATTTGGTTGTTATTTTACTGTCCGTTCTCATTGACCAGCTACTTATTCATATGTGACAAGCCCTAAATAACAAACAATGTCCCTGAGCTACTCTTAACCAACCATCTGCCATTGGTTTGAAACAGATGAAATCAAGGAATGTTAGTTCAGCAAACCCGCCAACCATCAAGCATTTTCGCTGAGATAAGCTGTTCATCCAGCACGTCAAATCAGCTATGTCATCCAATTGGATCATCAGCAGGGCCTCTCTGCTCCGGACAATTTCGTTGCTCTGTTCCCTGGTCTCGCCTTGACTGTCTGTCTGTCTCCCTGGAGGTTTAGCCGGTGGTGTGCATTGGCAGGGTTCTGAAACATAAACCAGTTTGAGGGGCGGTCTAAATATTTATACCAACTCATTCCCTACAACGTCTCTGCCCACACTCCTTGATTCAAGCGGTCTGGGAAAGAGGCTATATTCTTCAATTCTCCCTTCACTTTCATATAGAAAACTCAAATAATATCCTTGTATCTTTTGGCGTGTTATGGTCAACTGACCGATTTCTGCTAACCCCTCAGAATCCCTTTCCCACCGTGGGTTAAATAGCTACAGGCACGGCCTCCGCGTTACATACCTAACATACCCTGAGTGTCCTTTTACTTTCTCATAAACCCGACAATCCATCGGGATATTTCAACCAAGCATATCTTGCTCTCCAATTGGTTGTTTAACTCTCGTACTCTCTCTTCCTCTTTCTCCACTACAGTACCGTGGTTCAATCTGGGCGCTTGGTACCTCCCATCCACAGCTCCCAGGTCCTCAAAATAAAAAGTCTGATTTACCAAACTGCTTAAGGACTCGTCGGACATAGCATTCATTGGAATTTTTCTCTGATCAGTTGCAATTCCATCAGCAAGGCCCCTGTTCTAAAGCTCCAAACCATGTTGTCAACTCCCACCCGCGAACGTCGTTTGTCAGTCGGAACCCCAATATCTGATCTGAGGGGCCCTGTTGGACCTGGTTTCAGTCGCCCAAAGCATAAACGTACATTTACCGGCTTTAGCCCTCAGGATATCAAAACTGTAGAGGCAAGCATTCCGGAACCTCAACGGGAAGCGTACGTGTAACATCTTTATTTCGTGATTTCCCTTTCCCGTGCCTGTTCGCAGCGGGTCCACTCACCTCGTCGCCTGGCATTCGGGAACAACGTTTTAGCTCCTGGTGCTTTTGATAAGTTTGCTTGTGGAAATTTTGAGGAGCTAATTGTTCTACTTGGGGCTCATAGTTGGCGCAAGTTTGTATGGCTTATCTCCTCTCGCTGTTTTGAAATGAAGGGTGCGTTCTAATGAGTCTGTTTTGGGTCCTAGACTGCGAAAGAGTTTAAGACGAAGGAGGAGTTTCAGGTATGAATTTTTGGGATATTCTCTCTCTATCTCCATCTTGCTGGCCCACGAAATATGCTTCATTATTTCAAGTTCACTAATGAGATGAATAGAAAGAAGTCGTCCGCCATGTTGAGACTACGCTCGCTCGGTCTCTATTTAACTGTGATGAGTTGTAGGTTCTATGAATTACTAACTATACATTTTGAAAAATTTGGGAACTCAATGAGCTGATGATTAATAGGGCGGCATATTCTGGTACAGCATTAGCTTTTCGGGATCGACTTGTTATTGAGTGGAATAAAACTCAACAGCACCACACATTCGTGGACCAGAAGAGAGTTTATTGTATGCATGTGATTCCTCGCATTGTTTGGTCATCTTACTGACTTCTAGCTAGACCTTTCTCTCGAATTTTTGATGGGCCGAGCTTTGGACAATGCTATGCTCAATGTGGGGATGAAGGACGTTGCAAAAGGTGCGAGTTTCACTCCTTGTCCTGTTCATTGCTAATAAAAATGTATTCCAGATGGACTTCATGACCTGGGTTTTCGTATAGAGGACGTTATCAGCCAAGAGCATGATGCTGCTCTAGGTAACGGCGGTCTTGGGCGGCTTGCAGCTTGTTTTCTTGACAGCCTGGCAACTTTGAATTATCCAGCATGGGGATACGGATTGCGATATCGATACGGCATATTCAAGCAAGAAATTATCGATGGATATCAAATCGAAATTCCAGATTACTGGCTCGATTTCAATCCTTGGGAGTTCCCACGTCACGATATCACTGTTGACATCCAATTTTATGGCCAGGTCAGAAAATATCAGAACGAAGAGGGGAAACATATCTATTCCTGGCAAGACGGCGAGATTGTTCAAGCAATTGCCTACGATGTGCCAATTCCTGGTTATGACACGCAAACGACCAACAATCTCCGACTCTGGTCAAGCAAAGCCGCGAGTGGGGAGTTTGATTTCCAAAAGTTCAACGCAGGCGAGTACGAAAGCGCTGTCGCTGATGAGCAGCGTGCGGAAACCATATCCGCCGTGTTGTATCCAAACGACAACCTTGAACGCGGCAAAGAACTACGCTTAAAACAGCAATATTTCTGGTGTGCGGCTTCACTTTTCGATATTGTCAGGAGATTCAAGAAGACGAATCGACCGTGGTCGGAGTTCACTGACCAAGTTGCGATCCAACTGAATGATACCCATCCTACTCTAGCCATTGTGGAACTTCAGCGTATACTTGTTGATCAAGAAGGATTGGATTGGGACGTAGCTTGGAAAATCGTATGCGACACTTTCGGATATACGAACCATACTGTCCTGCCTGAAGCTCTGGAGAAGTGGTCCGTCCCTCTCATTCAGAACCTCCTGCCCAGACATTTACAAATCATCTACGATATCAATTTGATATTTCTTCAAATGGTAGAGAGGAAGTTCCCAAGGGATCGTGAACTTTTATCCCGGGTATCAATAATTGAAGAGTCACAGCCGAAAATGGTTCGCATGGCACATTTGGCCATTATCGGTTCTCATAAGGTCAATGGGGTGGCAGAGCTACACTCCGATCTCATCAAGACGACAATCTTTAAAGACTTTGTTGAAGTGTACGGCCCAGACAAATTCACCAACGTGACTAATGGTATCACTCCTAGAAGATGGCTGCACCAAGCCAATCCTCGCCTGTCCAAGCTCATTGCTTCAAAACTGGGAGGTTACGGATTTTTGAAAGATCTCACTCTGCTCGACCAGCTTGAGGCGTACATCGACGACAAAGATTTCAAGGCTGAGTGGGCAAATATCAAACTTTTTAATAAGATGCGACTGGCGAAACATATTTGGGATTCCAGCGGAATTCGTGTTAATCCACAGTCTTTGTTTGATATTCAAGTCAAACGCATTCACGAATACAAGAGGCAGCAGTTGAACATCTTTGGAGTGATCCACAAGTATCTGAAAATTAAAGCAATGAGTCCCAAGGAACGATCGAAGCTTGTTCCTCGTGTCTCCATCTTTGGGGGAAAGGCAGCCCCAGGCTACTGGATGGCGAAAACAATTATCCATCTCATCAATAAGGTAGGGTCCGTTGTGAATAGTGATCCTGATATCGGAGATCTCTTGAAGGTCGTCTTTGTGGAGGACTACAACGTTAGCAAAGCAGAAATCATCTGCCCAGCTTCAGATATTAGTGAGCATATCTCCACCGCCGGCACAGAGGCTAGTGGGACAAGCAATATGAAGTTCGTTCTCAATGGAGGACTCATCATTGGCACCTGTGATGGCGCGAATGTAAGTCAACCTCCTCTGTCTTTCAATACCTCAACTTTCTATACTAACTTCACCCCCCAGATCGAAATAACCCGCGAAATTGGTGAACAAAACGTCTTCCTCTTTGGTACCCTGGCCGAAGATGTCGAAGATCTTCGCCACGCCCATATTTATGAGAAGGGCAACCTCACCATAGACAGCGACCTGAGTGCTGTCTTTGATGCTATCAATTCAGGCACATTTGGTAATCCTAGCGAGTTTTCAGCGCTGATTGCGGCCATTACTGAGCATGGCGATTACTATCTTGTCTCGGACGATTTCCATTCGTATATCGCAACGCAGGATATGGTTGATGAAGCATACCGGGACCAGGATGGGTGGGTGGAGAAGAGCATTTTGAGTGTATCGAAGATGGGATTTTTCTCGTCGGATAGGGTTATTTTGGAGTATGCAGAGAGCATTTGGAATGTGGAACCGGTTGAGGCCAAATAGGATGGAGTTCCGGGAGCCGGAAGATTTGACGATGCGGGTGGGGACAGGATTGAAACGAAGAGCAAAAGGGGCCAACGGCGGAGCCAAAGTTTTTCGTTCGATGTGTTAGCTAGCAGAATATCTTTACATGGATTTTATTCCATTTTGTCCCCCCCCCAACCCCCCGGTTTTTTTTCAAAAAAAAAAAATTAAATAAATAAATAAATAAATAAAAATAAAGTACACACTTGTCCTTTGAGTGATGGTTGACAGACCGACTTAACAACCGGGACCATAGCTTCCTTCCACCCAAGCTACCCGTCCCATTTAGCCGTCTCAGCATCCATCAATATACCAACCACTCCACACCAATCCCACCTCCACCCTATCTCCACTCCACTCCAACCCACTCCAACCCATTCCAAGTAACATTGTAAAACCTAATCTCCATCCGGCCCCTCTGCTTACTCTCGCTCTTTTAAATATACCATTAACGGAATTCGAATAAAAGAAAAACTAGCGAGACCTTGGAACGTAGAATGGTTCGTTAAGAAAGGTCTATATGTTATATTATAGAGGAGAAGAGGGGCCAAAGGGGCCGCCTGTGGGTCCTAACTGAAACAAGTAGGCGTCGTCAAGAAGCAGCGGAAAGCTATTAGGGCAGTGCAATAAATTCTTATCACTACATCAAAGGTCATGTCATCAAGTATAGCCCTATTGGCTGGGGCGTGCTCTGCTCTTTCAATACGAAGAGAAAGAGAGAGCAAATATGCAGTAAAAAGCCCCAATACCCCCGCCCTACCAATGTATATCTAGGAAATTGACGTGATAGTAGTAAATTTAACATTACGGAATGGGTAAGTTAAAGTATATAGATAATATACAGACATATATGTAGCAGATGTGTATTCGCTCCACCATAAACCACCGCTTAAAATGCCACATTTAGAAGGTTTGATAAGACAAAAAAATGTGCAGAGAGAGAAAGATAAGAGGTTGCACCTAAACAGGCCATTGGGGTGTGGCATACCAATGAAATTTTGAATGCTAAAAGAAGATGTCCATATTGCCTTTTCGGTTTCCGAATCCATTATGAACAAAGGGGTATATGTAGACAGCTGTATTCCATGAAGTTTAAACCATTCGTCCAAAGTTTGAAAAGATAAATGAAGATGCGGCCTGTATATTCAAGGAACCTGATGGATTGAGTTTATGTGGAGGCGCATGGCTTAGGGGTAAGTTTGGTGGTTGAAAAATTGGATCGAAACGTATGGGCACTAAGTTCAGCCAGAAGGTGGATAATTGCGACATCGAAAACACGATCATGACGCAGTTAGTTCCGAAAGTCTCTTTTCCAAGTCTGGTACCGCACGCAGTTGGAGCTCGATTTCTTCCTTCTCACTGCTTTCGAGTGGTCAGTCAGAATACCAAAGGCGATACATCAAAACACTCAGACCAGACACACCAAGACAAGGTTAAGGGGAGGAAAAAAAAAAAAAAAAAACCCACTCTTCAAGCTGCAACCTCTTCTCCCAATCCAAGCCAGTAAAAATATAATTCCCCTGTCCATCAAACTGCAATATCTTCTTATGGTATTTCCATAAACTCCGCCGGTGCGAAACAGTCATTAGTGTCACACCCAGCTTCTTCGCAGTCTCATACATAACTTTCTCAATCTCCAGCGTGACGGAGGATGTGCACTCGTCCAAAATCGCAAACCGGGGCTTATGGTAGAAGAGCCTCGCCATAGCAATCCGTTGCTGCAAGCCACCAGAAAGTGCATCACGCCACTCCTCCTCCGCATCCCACCCGCCAGGCCTATCGACGATGGAGGCAATCTCTACGATACTAAGAATCTTATAGAGGTCTTCATCCGTGACGCCCTTGGCATGCATTTCACTTAGGCCGTCTGGGTAGATGACTTGCTGTCGCAGTGTGCCGCGGGATAGGTAAGGGCGTTGTGGGATGTAGAAGATATCTTCGAAGGATGGCTTCTTGACGATCCCGCCGTAGACTGGCCAAAGACCACCCAGAATTCGGAAGAGAGAGGACTTCCCGCACCCATTGGGACCGACGATGAGGAGGTGATCGCCAGGGTAAACGGAGAAGGATAGCTTTTGGACCAGAACGTCCCCATTAGGAGAGACTATGGGGACATCAGTGAATTCGATGAAGTCACTTTCCACAATGGTGCCGCGGCCACTGAGGACGGCGGCATTTTCGTCAGTAGAGGCGGAGGAAACAAGCTTCTTTTCGAAGTGGCCGGCCGAAACATCGTCAATAACTTCGAGAAGGGATGATACGCGGGCGGTGTGGCCGGCGAGTTGAGAAATTTCCTTGTATGAAAACATCACTCGTCCAAAAGCGTCGGAAGAGGACAAGAGCATGCGTCTATTTGTAACGAAACCTAGATGGTGTTAGCATGTAATGATGTGCAGAAAAGCTGAGAGTGTGTGAATGGAACACTTACTCTCCGTCCTGTCTCCCATTGTTGCCGTGACTTGTCCCGGAATTTTGAAGAAGACCGGAACACTACAGAGAACCAATCCCAGAGCGCCCCAGAAATACTTAATCACAAAATCCTCCATGAAACCATAGTATAGCCTTCGCCGCAGGATGCGGTTCACATGCTTGATCAGTGTAAAATATCCCTTATCCAACGTATCCTTCTCCGTCTCATGGCCGCGGTACAGGGCAATCTCTTCGCTGTAATCAATGAGCCTTGTGTGCTGGAATCGAAACTCTCCCTCCAACCGTGCTTCATCGGCAACGTATTTCCCAAACGGTGGCGTTAATGCGCGCATCGCGTTTGCAGATAATTGGACAAGAAGGGACATGAGAAAAAGGCTTTCGCCACCCACACTCTTCGAAAGGGAATAATTGTAAATGGCCATGTCTAGAATCGGTTTGGCGAGGTTGGAGTAAAGCTCTGCCAGACTATTTGAGAACCGTGAGATATCAACCGTTATGAGTTGGTCGGGGTTCTTGATCCGGTCGTCCAAGGCGGATAGTGTGTAGAAGGACATGTTCGATAGGTAATGATCATGCACATATTCCGTTAGGCGTTTTCGGTATTGCAGCGCCAGTTGACATTGATGATATGAAAGCTGTAACAAATAATAGTTAGATAGCGTACATATATATAAA